TCCGGTGCCGCCAAGGAAAAAAAATCAGCTTTTCCATCCGCCTTCCCGTTATGTGTTTTTTTTTTTTTGGCCTTTTGAACCGCTCTCCCTGCCCGCCCGAAGGGTGAAGGTTAACGTGCATTGCAGCTGCGGAGGGATTAACAAATAAATACGGATCCTGCTGATCACGTTCTGTTTGCAAGCAGCTGTACAGCTTCCCCAGCAAATATCTATTCCCCCCTCAAAAATGTTTTGGGTAATAAAGCATTTTACCCTACATCTGCCACTCAGAACTCATCTCCTCCATCCCCTATCATCCTTCAATTGATTAATTTTTACCAACACAGCTGCTCAGGACATGGATAGCCCCTCCACGGTGCACAGCTTCAGCTGAGACCCTCACGGAGAGATCCCCAAAGGACATCCCATGGAAAGACCCCACAGAGGGATCCTGAGGAGAGATCCCCAGGAGAGCCCCGTGGAGTGACCCCATGGAATGACCCCACGGAGAGCCTCATTGAGAGACCCCACAGGGTGACCCCATAGAATGACACCAAAGACCCCATGGAGAGTCCCACTGAGAGCCCACGCCTGCCTTACCAGGAGCACTCCGAGACCGGTGAGGGAGAGACAGCAGTTTTATTGCACAAGGCAATGTCTGCCCAATGCTATCTGCTGCTTTTAGTGCCAGTGACGGTGAGGGCAGGGAGCCTAATCCTGCTCCTTGGAAGTCAGGGGTGAATTCCTTTAAGGTGACGCGGGCTGGGGCCTGTAGCATCTCTGGTGGTGGAGTGCAGTGCAAAAGGAGGCAGTGAGCATCCGCTGCAGGGGGTGGGCAGTGGGCACTGGGGGACTTCTCTGCACAGGGAAGGAAGGCAGAGCAGAAGCGAGCCAGCTGCTGAGCTCTCCCTCACAACTGCACGCTGCATGAAAGCGGCATCTGAAAATTAGGGCTGGTACCAGATAAAGTATACAGATTTGTCACGGTGTTGTATTTTATCTTCAGTCCAAATGCATGACTGCAGCTATTGTGGTGGAGCCCAGAATGGCACAGGCGGCTTTTACAACGACAGATCCGTGCTTTTCTCTTAGTGAAGGGACCTGAGAGCCTCAGGCACACAATTACGTGCTCAGTGACAGTATTTTCACACCGGTGCATAAGGCTTTAACTGTGTAATTCTCATTAGAGTCCTGAAAGATTGTGTAGGTAAATCCACAGACCCAGCGCGGTGTCGTTTGGAATTCCACATCCCTCAAATTTCACTGCCAGGTTTATAACTCACTGCCTTTCTGCTGGAAGAGCAGTGAAGTCCTGCAGGAGAGGTGAGAATGCCGCACTGGGATTTTCCATTGCTGTGCAGTTGTTTACAGTCACACCAAGTGAGTGCGAATGGGAGTGTTCTGAGCTCGCTGTGTTTTTCACGGCTTTGCATCACCGTGAAGAACAAGTTCCCCTGTGTTTCGCTTGTTTTTGTAATGACAGCTTAAAATTATATGATATGCCGGGACAGGGTTGAGGTAGAATAAGGAAACAATCCTGTAAAGATTATCCTTCCTTCAGCATACGATACTGGTAGCTTTGGAGCAAACTGTAACGTGACTTGGCGTGGTCATGGCTTTTAGGGCCAGATTATTTGTCATTTGAGTGAGAGTCAAGCAATACTGCAGTACTACAGTCTCTGTATTTTGTGCCTGCTGTGCCATTCTTTGGGCGCAGGCAGTAGTGGCAGCATTATAGAATCATTAAGGTTGGAAAAGGCCACTAAGGTCACCAAGTGATCCAGCCCACCACCCCTCAGTGCCACATCCCCATGGGTCCTGAACACCTCCAGGGGAGGTGACCCCACCACATCCCTGGGCAGCCTGTGCCAAAGCATTACCACTCTTTCTGAGAATAATTTTTTTCCTAATATCCATCCTGAAACACATGAGACAGAAGACCCTGGTAAATGACCTTACCACTTGGCCTCTGAAGCCATGCAAGCTCCTACTGACTTTGCTAGCTGCCTCTTGATTCCTGCGGATACTGCTGACACTGGCTTGCACAGAAAGTACAAATGAGTTTTTCCTATCTGCCATGTGGTCTGTGGATTTACTGAAGTTATTTTGAACTAGCTGTGGCCACAAGAATAAAACCACCACTGTGCTTGTGTCCCAGGCTGGCAGTTTAGCAAGATGACCACAGATTCGAGCTGCCTTATAGGGGCTGCAAGCAGTTTTAAACTTCCTTTGCATCACAGTATGGCTTGCACTGATGAGACCTGTGTTCTGCACATCCATGCCCTGCATTGAGTGTAACAGCTACAGTTCCAGCACCATGCATGCACCAAGCTGCTTATAGCAAGCTACAGGCCTGTGTTCAGCAGACTGATGGCACAGCCTCGTTTACTGACAGTAAAAGCAGCTCTTAATCACCAAGTGACCAAGTCACAAAGAGAGAAAAACAGCAGAGCCATTTTATCACACGTGACGTTTTCAAGCCTTCTTCATGTTGAGAGGTAATTTAAAAATAAATGCTGTTATGTTTTTTAGCAAAGGAAGATGGACAGAAAGAGGTGCCTGTCTCTGAAGTCATCTGCAAGTTGTGCTTACTGCCACAAAAGCTCTTATTTTTTCCAGGTACAGCTACCTCATTCACAATGTTAAGATCTGCAGCTTTCACCTTGTCCCCTCCTTTTTCTCTTTGTATTCTCTCTGTTCCCTCTCCTGGTTTGACTTTCTTACCTCTGCTCCTCCCAAGCCACTGGGAGTACTCAGCAGACAGGGTTTCTGCAGTGAGCCTTCCAGCTCCTGCTCATCCAAATTCTGGCTGAGATCAAGGAGGTTTTTCCTTCCCAAAGCTCTGCGAGGTTGGATGCTCTGGCAAGGAGGGTGTAGGGAATGTGCATGCAAAGCGTGATGTTGGAAGGCAGGGCAGATTGTCAGGGCGCCTTTGGCCTCTGCTATAGGACAAACTCATTTGTCCCCTTGCATCTGGAAATAAAGCTAA